TCCAGTAACCCACATTGGACCCTTGTCTGTCAGCTGCTGCATCGTCTGCTCAGTGATACATGACAGATCCCACATGCCTTTGCCACTGATATGAATAACTTGCCCTCATCAGATGTCATTACAAAAAATAACAGCAGCCATACCTATGTCACTCTTTTCCACCGCTTAGGCATTCCGTAAGATTAGTAAAATCAAGAATGTTTTCTTAGTGGTGTTAAGGACCACTGGGTCTAAAATTAAATATAACAGTCAAGACTCAGAAGGCAGGTCTCAGTATTGAGCAACAAGGCTTTATTAGGCTAAATACGAGTTTTTACACTGGTTTACTGGTAAGGACTTGTGACTCGTAAGCAGGTGCCCTAAGGGGTAGGCAGTGGCAGGCAGGGCTCCCTGAAGGTGGCAGGCAGAGAAGCTGAGGCGTGAGAAATAGTGGCTGATGTCAGACAGGCAGAGTGAGTTGAGACGTGGCGGATGTACAGTAGTGAAGCTGAGTTTAGGCAGGCAGAGAGGAGCTGAGGTAACACCAGGGAGATGAGGCAGGACCAGAGCCAAGCAGTGGAGAGGAGATGCACAGGTGACTAGTGCCGATGAAGTGAAGTCATTGCCGCCTGAGACCAGGTAAGTCGAAGGCTGCATGTGGATAGGCGAGCCGAACTGTAACACACAGTGGGATTGGCTGGGATAGAGGGCACAGCCAGCGTAGCTGGTGGCTCAGGAACTTACAGGTAAGGTGAAGGAAATAGTAATGATGGCCGTCTGGCACCAATGCTCCAATACAAGCTTGTCATGAAAATTACATTATTAAATATGTTTTAAACTGTGTTTTAATCAATATATATTAATCACTATATGTTATTCAATGGATTTTAAACTTTCAGAACAGACCTGTGAGAAACTGCTTGTGTGAACTGAAGGACATGTTCTTTATCTTTGTTTTAGTACTCTGTGTGCTGTGATATATTCAACTACAGGGTGTCCCAGACTTAGAGGAGCCAGCCATAAACTGTGAACATGAACATACACCCAGCTTATTTAGTGTCTGAGGGGTTATCGGGGAAAAGCCTCTCAAATTCTATTTTGCTGTTTAAAATCTACTTTACAACTTGATTAACGCCTGGGTTGCGTCTTTAGGGAGTTCCCTTTTTCCTATATATTGTGATGTTTAGACTAAGCTCATTCAGACAACTCTGTATGCCTATGCTAACTTGTCTCCTTGCAAGTAAACCAATCTCTTATTGAAAGATTCCAGTGACTTTGTTGGTTCATTGAAAATTCTTTTGACAAAGCTTCAAACTCGAAGTAGCATTTTCCTTGAACCACTGCTTCGAAGCTTGCTTTGGTGCAGAAAGACACGTAACTGATGACGTCCGAAGCAGAAACTGCCCACATTTGTTTTCTCTTACAAAGCAATACCTACAGTGGTGTGAAAAAGTATTTGCCCCCTTACTGATTTCTTATCTTGTGGAGAAGGTGTCAGCAAGAAAAGAAACCGGCTCAGTCCAAAAACAGAAATTATTTTCTTGATAAAAATCTTTGAATCTCCATCCCATGTACATAATCACACCCTGCCCTAGTTACACAAGCACACCCTACCATCCTAGCACATCCTCCGTTTCCCCAAGCACACCTTCTCGCAAATACTACACTACACGTTTATAGAACCAATCAACCGATCAATCAATCTTTACAAAAATGTCTTTACATGATTCACACAAAGCCTAGTTACACCCATCATCACATAATTAAGACATTGTTTTGCTGCCTCCTATTTCACCACTAAATGTCAAATGAAGCTTTGAATGAATGAACCCATGTTCAATACAACTGATGAAGTAGGTCAATACTGGTTCGTTGCTTCATTTGCACATCACTAGGAGACATGTAAGTAGACAGTGACACACATCAAGATGGGCTGGAACAGGATACTCGGCCAGCATAGCTGGAGGACCAGGAACTCACAGATAAGTTGACTGAAGCTGGAGAGATCACAGTGTTGCAGGGAAAAGGCAAATCGGGAAACTGGGCAATGATGTTGAGTAGCAGAGATTCATTTTGTCAAAATCGAGAAGTGGAGCCAAAGTGTTTTGGAACAAACCTCAACATACTGGTAACCAGGAAGCTCCTGCTTGCTGGTTAAGTAGGAGCTGGTAAATGAACTGATTAGCGAGAGCTGCTTCAGCCACGCCGGAACCGCCATCTGCCTGCCAGGAGGAGAGAGAGAGAGGGAAGGAGAGAGCGAGCAGACCTAACCAGTGGTATGTAAGGGGATGGTTGCAACACTTTTTAAAGTTTTTAACTCACCCCTGTTGAAGATATGTACTGTATGTTAAAGGACCCAAATACAAACTCAGAAAAACTAGGATGTATAAACAGAACTTTAATATAATAAAAGGTTAATGGCAGAGATGTACAGTAAGTTAAACTAGTAATACAAAATATAAAACACAGGCTCAATGGAAACAGAGAACACAGCTATGGCTGGAAAACTATACAGCTATAACCGAAGATGCTCCATAAAGCAGGAAAGATACTGTAAGTGTCTTCTTAAAAACTAAGGACACTGTTATTGCAGGAAAATCCAGTTAATAGAAGGATAAAATTCTGGAAAGCAGGGAAATCAAGACCATTAAGGCATGGGGGGGGGATCACACCTAACAGATTCTGTGGCAGGCAACCAAAGAGCAGGGCAAAACCAATTCAGTCAGTGAAAATCAAGACAACCAGCAATAGGGCTACTGACCATGATGAGTGAGGCTGAATAATCCAGAGGAGAAAAAAGAACAAACTGGGATCTGACCTGAAAAGTGTCCAGTAAGAGTAAGATCAGGGAAAACAGGCAGGTGCCAATTTGTCATCTGATGGAAGGCTGCAACGACAACAAACTAGCGAAGTGAGAATGGAGAAGGCCTGTCTATGTATACTGGTGGTGATTACTCGGAAAGGAAACAGTTGAGGATAACTGGAGCTGGCTGGGGCAGGTAAAGCCTGAACAAAGCCCACAAACAAAACAGGAGTGTGGCTTTTGATTGTTAATTTTTACACCTTCGTGCATCTGATTTGGCATGATAATTCTAGATGGTGGCTCTCATCCTGTAAAGGCAATTGTCCTGGCTCTTTTCAAGTCTTTGTTTCATTTGGCTGGTTCTTTTCTTTTGGGTTGTAGTTGACTTCCTTTTGCTACAAGTGGGTAATAAAGGTGACACTGTCCTGGGGATGAAATTCCCCAGGGTGACATTGTTGGACACCAGTAAACACACTAGTTTGGTTTGGCCCCATTATTACATCTGCCACATATGCTGCATGTTTTTTCCCAAGGTGCCATTAGAGACACCACAATTAAGTATAAGGAGAACAGATTTGTTCCCGGTGTCTGGAAAGCCATCATGATTACATAGTCCATGTGTTTAGCCTGGAACCGATGAGAAGACGTTACCTACCCTTGCAAGCTTCTGTGGCAGGTTACTATAGACATTAATAAGCCTCAGGGCAGAAGTCAGCTACATACAGTAGGTCTGGGAATCACGAGGCTTCTGCTTCACCATTAAACAGTAAGAAGCCATATAAAATTTTGACTTTTTCCCCTTCAATCTCTAACACCTAGAAGGAGAGTGTAAAAGTAGCTTTTTATTTTCGTAGTGGTGGTAAAATGAATGGTATGAACAAAAACCAAATTGGTGGATACTGCTTAAATCAGTGCATAACTGACAAAATTTGTATCTGTACATGTGATTTGCTCAACCTATTGCAAGCTATGGGTTGGAGCCACCAGAGGCGGAAGAGTGCGGGGCTTAGGGGCCATAAATCAATCATTTCACACCTCCTTTGACAAGAGCTGCATTATAAATACCTGTGTCAAAGTACAAGTTTTCTTGCTTTTAAAAAAAGGCTTTTTTGCAGAATGTTTGCAGTGTTTCCTCAATGGCATAAAAATATAGCGTGCATGTGACTGGACCAGGTCCAAAGATGAAAATTCTTGTTGATTGGTCTAGACTTTAAAATTAACATCTGGCAGCAAAAGTATACGTAC